AGAGAGAGAGAGATTCGTGAAGCTTTTCACTATACTGTACAGTACATTAGATCGTAATTAAACCAAACCACCTCCAATCAAAATTCTTCATTGGCAGATTTATTCCAATATTCCAATAGTGAGATAATGATTTGGATGAAACTAACATGTTACTGTGTTATGTGCCGAAGATAGTACCCGAGTAACTAGTAGCTTGGCTTTTTTCTATACGCGTATTTCGTATTTCGTATTTCGTATTTCGTATCCATGCACGTTCTTCTCAATATACCCACCGCCCGGCTAACCATTTCTCGTTAGAGATCCTGTGATATTTGAGCTAAATCCAAAAAATCAATCTTGGTGCTAAGAAAATCAGGAAAAAAATTCAAAAAAATTCAAATTTGTACCAAACTGTGCTAAGAAATTAGTATAAAATACATCTTTCAAAGCAAAAGCCAATAATATTATTTCTTGTAGGAAACCTTTCTCTAACGAGAAGAAGCAAAGTCACGTAAATATCTAAATATCACGTGTTATAGCTATGATTACCCTACGGGCACCTCAGGAGAGTTATTAATAACCCTCCCAAGGAGGATAAATCGGCATTTTTGACAAGCGTCCTTTTTAATGTATTGAGATTCAAAGCATGTATTGAGATTCAACACTTGTATTGAGATTTGAAACTAAAAAGACCTCCGATATTATTGATCACCCTCTCCCAGGCCTCTCAATTACCACCCCCTCCTCTCCCTCCCCTCCCTTAGCCTCCCTGGCCTCCCTAGCCCTTTCATCCCTGAGTTTCATACCTTATTTTGAACCTCGTTGTCGCACCCTTGTCGTCGCTAACCCTTAATCGTTTATATAAACAATTGAAACCATTCAAACTTACTGAATATTGAAGCATTGAAACCATTCAAACTTACTGAATATTGAAAGCATTGAAAGCATTCAAGTTGACTTAAAAAAAGTTGTAAAGTTGATTGAAAGATTTCGGTAGATATGAATGAATTTGAAATCATCGATTTAGGGTGAAAAAAATGAAGCTATATTGAACTAATTCATATTAGGCTTAGACTATATATTCAGATTTCAATACGAGATCTCAATACATCTCATTGCATTTCAATACGTGGTTTAGTGCAATAATAATCCACTGGTGGGTAAATTACCCTTCTGAGGTGCCCGTAGGGTTAAGTCGAGTTGTATAATATATATATACGTACCCGGGAAGAATGATAGATGGTCATGTATTGCGATTGCGATTTGATGAAGGGGAATGGGAAGGTAAGGGAAGGGAAAAGTTATCTTTGGTTTTATCTTAGGATCTATGAATGTAAAAAAGGAATAATATCATGGGTTACAATTTTTCTGTGGGGAAATACGAAGTAGGCATTGTGTCTTGTTCATCGAAGAAGATCTGCTAGTGACTTATGTATTCCATTGTGCTCTTTTTATAGCCAGCTATAAGGTATATTTATACAAAGTACGGTATCAAATACTCCATCGTAACGCGGATCAATATGACCAGTCTTCCAATACCAAATCCAACAAAAGAAAATTCCCTATCCTTGGGTAACGTTATCGTTATATCGACGATCGCTATTCTCAGGCTATGCCATGCCAACAAATGAAATCCCACATCCTTTTGAAAGTCATCCTCCCTAATCCAATATTTCCTATAACCTATTTATCATCTCTCATGCCCGATTATACATTGGCGAAATAGCTCGATCACTCAATCCAATATAATTGTCATCCATCAAAGCTGCTTTCTTGAGATCTACCCCATCTGGAAAAACATTTCCGGCATGCACAACATGGAACATGATCTGCACCAGAAACATCGGCGCCGTATCCGCAACATACATATAAAGCTCATGGCTCATCAAAGCCCCCGTTGAACCTTGAGAAAACTCTACCACTCTGTAAAGACATCTTGCGATAATCAATACTGCAGCCGCGAACAAGAGCATGAGTAATTGATGCCAAGTCTTCTTGCCGCGAGCTGGGATATCAAATGATCGTGGGTGTGATCGCATGCGACGTTCGAAGGTAATGGCGATGGTGAGGAAGAGACTGAAAAATACAAGCTGTGCGACAAGACCGACGATGATTATTTTTTGTCCGAGGGCGCTGTTACCAGCTGTTGCCATCATACTGCCACCACCAGCTTGCATCATAAAAGAGATAACATCTCCACCGACGAAGATTTTAGTGACCCATTTAACGGGAATAATGGATGCAGATGGAGCGTTGACGAAGAGGACGATACGGCCGTAGATCATGTATATGGTTGCTGCATACAGAGATGGCGGAAGGATAATAAAGATAGATTGACCAGAGTAGAGCGGTATAGATGAAGGGCTCTTTGCAGAGAGATATCGGAAGACGTAACCAGCCGTCATCACTGCGTAAAGGGATTAGAAAGGAGTTATAGAATGAAGAACAGGAGAGGCTTTAATGGAAAGACAGGAGAGGCTTTATTGTAAAGACATACTGAGACCTCCACATATCATAGCTGTGTAGAAATAGGTTTTCTTTCGAATCATCGTTATAAGATGGTATATTGTGCTAGCGAGAAATAAAGCAGCTGCAATTATCGCAGCTATTTTGCTCGGTGCATAGTGGTAAAGTACATAAACCATTTTGAAGGCTTGATGGGACGAATTGATGGATATGACAAAACTTGTAGACCGCCACGAGAGTATCACAAATCGAAATAAGCAAATAAAAAAGGTATGTAGGTAGACTCGCTCAGGATAGCAGATTTGCAAATGTAAGTGCGAACTAAGGAACGCGTTGATTTGCTGGTAAAGACAGTATTGAGGAGAAAAAGGTTGGAACTCACAGCGAGAGTACAACCATGATATGGAACTCAGAGGTGACTGCTCAAAAGTAGCACTAGCTACATTTGATAACTAGGTATTGCTGGAGAAATTTGAAAGCCCATCAAACATCACAGCCATCGTATTATCGTATTCGCGCTGTTCCATTGAGGCGCATTGCCAATAATGTTGTCCATACTTATGCACTAGACGACATTGATACTAGGACCAGTAGTGGCCCCTGAGAAAATTCAGGAACGCGCCCATAAAAGCCCAAAATAGGGCATATCAAGGCTTAGTTTCTTACAGAAAGCTCCATCCCGCACTGTTCGCAATTGATTGGTATATGGATGTTCTTGAGGATAGAGGGAGATCATGAATAGCGAGGGACGAATCAAAGTAATCGATGTACGATGAACACGATGAACACGCTGAATACGACGAGATTGAAGAAGAGATGAAACTCCACTTTTCTTCCCCTTGCTGCATACGTTGGATGCCCGTCTCGTTTACAATGCGAGATTAGCGGTTAAGGCAAATCTTCATAAGGTCCGTCCGCCATCCGGTAGGTAGTTTCACGACCTTTTGACAATATCTCGTGAGGCTGAAGTCTGTAGGAACCAGGGCAAGTCGATCATACCCACTTGGACTGACATGCATTGACTGGCTGGGAATTCGATGGGTAGTTCTAGACTCCTAACTTGAGCTAGAGTGTCCATTACATGATAGCTCGTCACATGATGCTGTATCACATGATGGTTCTCATCTATGTCAAAATACGTTTTCCCTTCACTACGCAAACATCCAAGATCAAGAATAAGGGCCACCCAGCTTCTTGAATTCTTCGATTATCGTACAAACCTTTTTCTTCAGCAGTCAGATTCTGTTGATCACGTTTGTCGATGATGCTTATTATCTCCCGTGTCGGGATATTTACCCTTCTCATTTTCCCATTCATCCTTCTCACAAGTGTCATGTCCAGATTTTCTAGTTCATCGATAGATGGTATTTTATCTACTATTGGTATATTGAATATACATATACCAAGCTTTTCTTCAGTATAGCAATTAATCGTTAGTCGATCTGCTGATGAAGTTTCCTGGATATAAGACGGAATCATTGTTATCTGAGCCGAACATTTGTTCACATGGCACAAAATAGATGAAAGTTATATTGGAAAGAGTGTTTTCTTACCATGGATTGTGGGGTAGGTTGGCAAAGAAGTTCTGGGTTTATATGGATTCTTGACTATTATAAATCTCTATTATCACGGCCAATATAGCTGTAGTTAGCTATGTCGTTCTTGTTGCCAGCGAACTCTCCATTCCTATTCTTCTGTGGATTGAAATTTTGAGCGCCGAGGAATCGCGTCAGAATCTAGCAGGCAGTAATTTGATCCATGTGTCGACAGCCAGGTTAGATGTTAAATCTCATCCGGAATGTCGGGTAGTGTTGAAGACTGCATCTACTAAACCATGTAGCTAGAATAATCTCTCGATATATATCAAGTATCTGTCTTCTGGCTTCTCCGATCTACCGCAGTTAGTTTCCAGATATTCTCTTGCTACAAATTACGACAATAAAATTGACAATGAAGTTTCAAATTATCATTCCCTTTTCGTTTCTCCTTTCATATGTCTCCGCACATACCATATTCATGCAATTGCAATCAGGCAGTACACTCTACAGTTCGTCTCTAATTTTTCTTGGCTTTTATCGCTCACACCGAACTCACGATAAACAGATACCAGTTATGCCATCCGAACTCCAACCTTTGACGGCGTGAGTCTCCATCATACACAACAATCCCAGTCCTAACACCCCTAGCCTATTACCGACGTGACAACTCAATATGTAGCCTGCAATGGTGGTCCTAACCCCACCACCCCCTCCTCAAACATAATCCCCGTCGTCGCTGGTAGCACCATCAAAGCCACCTGGCGACACACCCTAACTAGCACCCCCTCTAACGACGCAACCTACATTGTCGATCCCTCTCATCTCGGTCCCGTTATGGCCTACATGAAAAAAGTAACCGACGCCACCACCGACGTTGGCTACGGATCCGGCTGGTTCAAAATCTCCGAGCAAGGCCTAAACGTCGCGACGCAAAAATGGGCAACAACGGATTTGATCAATAACGCCGGGGTGCAATCGATTACTATCCCCAGCTGTATAGCCAATGGACAATATCTTCTCCGCGCAGAACTCATCGCTTTACACGCAGCAGCAGGAACACAAGGTGCCCAACTCTACATGGAATGTGGACAAATCAATGTTTCCGGAGGCACCGGCACCTCATCTCCATCCACAGTATCCTTTCCCGGCGCATATGGACAATCGGATCCAGGTATTCTTATCAATATCTATACAACGCTCACAACATATACGATTCCAGGCCCAACACCGTTTGTATGTGGAGCGGCGCAGAGTACGGGTACTAGTTCGAAAGCTACATCGACAAGTTTGAGCACGAGCACGAAGACGAGTAGTGGTGCGGTGGCGACGGGGACGGGTGTTGCGGGGGTTTATGCTCAGTGTGGGGGGCAAGGGTGGACGGGGGCTACGGTTTGTGCAGGGGGGAGTACGTGTATTGTTAGTAGTGTTTATTATAGTAAGTTTTTTCTTTTAACTCAAAGTGTGAAGTGTTAGGCTTGGAGATGAGAGATGAAGTCTGGATGGGAAGATAAAATATGGTAAAAATACATTGCTAATAAATTATTTAGGTCAATGTTTACCATCGTGATAGAGGAGATGGGGAGGAGTATCGATGTTATTTCTGTTGACGCTCAGCTTATACTTACTATACTGGGATGGAAATACAGAGTATATATTCGGGATGTAAGAGTTGTGGCCATCGCTTACCACACCCCTAAGCAAGATTAACCTTATCACTTTATTTCCTATACCTTAATTTTAAAAATTCATCAAAATTCGAAATTTCAATGTTTTCAGTTCAAAATCAATATAATTGTATAGATTTACAACAAAAATAATAATTATCGATTTCACGAAAATTGAAAGACTTGTTATATTAAAATAATAGCAATATATGAACTTGAAAAATTATAAAATTGAATTGAAAATTTTTTAAGTATATTTAAATCAAATTCAATATATAAAATTAGAAAAGAGAAAGTTTATTTTTCTATTATAATAATAATAAAAGAAATTCATCGAATTATAAGAATTATAACGAAAAATTGAAATAATAAATTTTTTTGAGCAAATCAAAAACATATTTAAATTGAAGATATTAATATATATAATTTGTTAGGAATTATATTGATATAAATATAAAAGATCTATAATATATCCTAGATTTTTCATTTCAAAAAAACAAATAAAAAAGTGGCTAGATTTTGTAATATTGTATAAATAATAAGAAATAAATGATTATACTACTACTGTGACGGAACAGACGGCTCTCTTCCGCCCACTGGCTCATACTACATACATAGTATGATATGAC